CTCATTCAGCCAGGAGGAGGCAGGAGAAGAGGGAGGGTAAGTTGCTTCCTCCCTGCCTCTCCCCACCCCTGCACTCCCGCCGGCCTTGCAGTTCCACCGCCGGGCTCATCATGGGGCTCGGCAGTGGAGCTGCAAGGCTGGCGGCGGCCGGGACCGTTGGGGGCGGGGTGTGTGGCCTTATGACACACTTCCGGTGATGTCAGGGGGTGTGGCCTTATGACACTCTTCCGGTGATGTCAGGGGGTGTGGCATATGCTAATGAGTTATGCTAATGAGTTCCCCTAGCTCTTTTTCTACGAAACGACCCCTGGGTATACTACTTCTGAACATGGAGGTTCCATTCACTCTATACTCCCTGAATGTGTATTAATCCCCTTTTAAAGCCAAGTAAACTAGTGGCTGTCACCACATCTTGCAACTATGAGTTCCTCAAGTTCATTACTCTCCAGAGTACTATTGTCTTTTGCCTGTCTTGAATCTACTGCCCCATCGACTTCTCTGGGTGCCTGCAAATTTTGGTATTTTGGGAGAGGGAGAAAAAGTTCCCTGTACTTTCTTTATCTACCCAGTACATGGTTCTATGATTGTCTATGTTCCCCGCCCCTTAGATATCAATGAATAGCACACTGCAAGACCCCCAAACCCCTAATCCAAGGTCACTGAACATTAAATAAAAGTTATTCAGAAGAAACCGCCTTTACAGAATCCCTTTTACTATTGTTAACTGACCTGACTTTTAAATTGGCACTAAACACAGCACAAAAATAACAGCCATTTTTCTTCTCTGGGTTCAAGAGAATCAACTGTGATCATTTGGATTTCTTCTGGGTTGCAGTTTACAGCAGGAGGGGCACCGTGGGCACCATACGACACCTTTCCTGGTACCCAGCAGATGTTTTTATGAAGTGGGCATGAAGGGCTTTTCTCAGGAAGGTTTCTGACTGGCCGCTGGAGATCTGATTGGCTGCGTATATTTTTTAAAAAGGATGCTTTGGTAGCAGCTGCCACCACAGCACAAGGATCATGACTGTGTGACCGAAGGTAAACTGTGGTAGCCACTACGTGGCTGGCTCCACTTCCTGTAGCAGCCATTCTGTGGCAGCCATTCTGTGACTGCGCCCACCACGCTGTGTCAGAAGCCCAAATGTGGCCGCAGGCTCAAAGAATTTAGGGACCCCTGGTTTACAGTATAAGTCTGAGCACTGTAATCCCAAGAGGTTTTTAAAAGGGCCTGCTATTGCCTACTGAAAATAGCATCAATCCCTTGCATGCTGTTCCAGCTGATTTTATCTGAACACTTGCACTCGACAGACGGAGCTTTAAAAGACGGCAAATTCCAAAAACCACAGGAATGTGCAGAAATCTTTCCATGCAAAAAGATTCAGTGTGTAAAAGAGCTACAGAATTAGCTTTCCGATCGCAACTTTGACGAACACTGCAGGCCTTTCTCTGGAGCACAACAGAGAGATCTGTTGATCATCACTGTGTTTTCTTTCCCTCTCTCCACAGGCACTCTAAGAAACGACACGTCTGCATAATTGAGCAGAACATTGCTTTTGCAAACCGGGTGACATCCCAGTGTGGCCAGAATTGCACAATTTTAAACAGAGTCTCTGTCCAGATGGGTTGTGTGCTTGCCAGAAAAAAAGAAAAGCGGAATGTTTATTTATATTATTTTTTTGCACCTCCGTCTGTTCCAGCTTCAGTTCCGTATCTCTGCAGTCAGAGAAGCACATGAGGTCAATACCAGGATATGGCACCAAGTGCCCCTTAAATCGACAGCCTGTATTCAAACAGTCCTAGAAAACGTTCCCTTCAGAAATTGAGAAGCAGCTTGCTGAAATTTCAGTGAGCAGAAGCTGCAGGGGCCGAGGGGGGCGCTAAAAATATGAACAGTCCCTTTTCCGATGGGCACTCAAATCATCTCTGCCTAGGATGCATTACAGCACTTCAATCCCATTACATAATCCTGGCTGCATTAAAAATCCACAACATCTTGTGAGCATGTGTGTTGGGAGTTTTCTACTGAGACCCTCCCACCTCTGGTGAACGGTCATATTCCAGCGTCCTCCACTATAGGCCTCGGACGAATTCAAGAAGGTACTGTGAAGAGACTGAACAGACCGAGGGAACTCCCCCATCACCCTGCTCAGATTTCAGACTGGCAAGGGAGATTCTGAGAAGATACAGAACATTCTGTGTCTAATGAATGGGTGGTGTTGTGATGTGTTACCAGAAGGAACATTCATTCCTCTCCTAAGGAGCTTGCCTGCTCCAGTGTAATCTCCAGGTCCCTTGATGTTACTTTTCCTTTTATGACTGCAGGGCTCTGGACAGATGCTGAGGCGTTCCCTCCCCACTGTATAAACGCTGAACAGCATGAAAACACACTGGAGTGGGGAGAGCACGTTTCAAAGCCAGGGAGGGGCACAATGGCAATACACATTTGTCTAGAGAGAGAAAGAGAGTGCCTGCAGAATGAAGAAGAGGCCCCACAGCATCCAGGAATTGGGCCCACGCTGGAAATCAGAAGCATGCATGCCAGTTCTCATTCAAAAACAACAGAATTCTGCTCAAAAACAACAGAATTCTGCGTTCACCTAGACCAAAAGCGGAAGTGGGTCAAACAGGCCCAAGTTAAATCACTATAGCAAGAGTGCTTTAGCATGTATCTGAAGAAGTCAGCTGCAACTCCCCAAAAGCTTGTACTGAAGTAAATGTTGTTAGTCCTTACGGTGGACTTTCGTGTCAATTTGGAGTGTTTCAGACTGCATTGGAATAGATAGCAGCAGAGTTTGTGCATAGCTATGCTGTTGCTGAATGGGTGGGAGGGGTTTTTTTTTACAGTTTTTTTAATGCTGATTTTTGAAGATGCTGGTTTTAATTGATACGAGTTTTTGACAATGCTTTTGGCCTTATTACCTAGGGAGTTTGGCTGCTGGCTGTATATTTAATTGCAAGCATAAGCCATCAGTTTTATGGATCAAAGACTAGGCTATAAGTGATTGTCAAGAACAAAGATCACAGCTAGTTTTTAACTAGGATTAGGAGAGACAGCAAAGCCCGTAATGGACTCACACAGCAGGATGGTCCATTGAACATTTGGGGGGGAAGCTGCCTTGACGTCTTTTAAACGAATAAAATCCTGGGTACTTTTCATTCCCTTCAAGGCTCATTGATTTACAAACCTTGAACAGGAGAAAAGTGCCATGTTCTTCATTTTTTGGATGCAAGAGATAAAAGGGCTGGGACAAATGTTGCTACCACCCTGACCTGATGACCCAGGCTAATCTGATCCTTTCAGGTCTTGAAAGCTAAGCAGGGTCAGCCCTGGTTTGTATTTGCATGGGAGACCACCAAGGAAGTCAAGGGTTGCTACGCAGAGGCAGGCAATGGCAATCCCCAGTATCTTAGGAGCAAAGGAGCCCTTCACCACAGCAGCTGCTTAGCAGATCACACCACAGATGACTCAAGCAAGCAATCCAAGCCCCAAAAGATTCTCGATTAAAACAAGGACTACCAACCAATGTTCCCTCTAAGCTGTGGAGGCTTGTGAGCAAAAATTCTACTTTCTGAGCTCCTGGCATTAAAGTTGTGAGCGAGGGATTTGGCTACTGCATAAATTAGTTTGCTCTGGAGCCCTCCTTCCTGAGCAAAGACAAGAATGTGTGAGCTGGAAGTTAAAAAACTGAGCTAGCTCACACTAACTCAGCTTAGAGGGAACACTGCCACCAACCAATTTAAGCAGGCAATAATAACAAAAAGATCTTTGAGTCCAGTGACAAGGCAAAAGCTTATACCCAGAATTAAACTTTGTTGGTCTTAAAGGTGAACTCAAACTTTGTTCTTTTTTTTTTATAGACAATTTTATTAATAGGATAACACAACATTAACATTTCATAAAGTACTTCATTTTTTTTAATCCCATCTTTCCAGCTTCCCCTCCCCTCCCCTTTGCTCGGCTTCCCGCAATGCTTCCACCCATTTAAATGGGTTAAACTCAAACTTTGTTCTGTTGCTTCAGACCAACATGGCTGCCCACCTTTACAAAAACAAACAAACACACACCTGTCTCCCATCCAACTACACTGATCTATCAGATCTGGGGCAACAAATAAAAGCCATTCCCAAAGACCAAGAGACCCAAAAGCATGCCAACGAGGCTGCTGGAGAGCTATTCTTCTGGAACCTGCGCTCCCACGGAAATTACACTGTAATGCAAAAGCAAATGTGGTTGGCACGCCTGCCAGCCCACGCCCCTGGTTCTCTTCACCGCGGCCGTCTGTCTGGTGCCACAAAGGAAAACAAGTTCCCAAAGGAGTCGAGCCCTTCCAGGCCCTGCTGTCAGCCCTCCACAGCGCACCAGAACAACTCCCCCGTCTGAAAAACCATTCCCAGAACGGACCGCGTTTCTCTCCACCCTGGACCTCCAAATCACAAACCACAGTGGCCCCCGAATTATGCCTGGTTTTTTTTTGGGGGGGGGGGAGGAGGTTTCCTTTGCTCCTCCACCTCCCCTTCCTTGCTGCCACCCCTGACGCCCGCCCCTTAACACGCAGGTCTCACCGATTCAGACGTGTCTCCAAAAGCTGAAACAGCAAGAAACTTGGCACGTGCGCGCGTCTTTCTTTTGGCAGGCGAGGCGAGGGAGGAGGAGGAGCGGGGGCGAGATCCAGCCAGGCTGCAGCCAGTGTTCCCTCTAAGCTGAGTTAGTGTGAGCTAGCTCACAGTTTCTTAGCCTCCGGCTCACACATTTCTGCCTTAGCTCAGGAAGGAGGGCTCCGGAGCAAACTGATTTATGCAGCAGCCAAATTGCTCGCTCACAACTCCGATGCCAGGAGCTCAGAAAGTAGAATTTTTGCTCACAAGACTCCACTGCTTAGAGGGAACATTGGCTGCAGCTGCACAGAGCCCCGACCCCTCCACCCCACCCCGGCAGCCAGCGAAGGCCCAGTTCCTGGCCGCTGGGAAGGCGGCATGCGAGCAGCCCGGCGGCCTACCTTGCTGGAGACCTCGTTCCCGCCGCGGATCCAGGCAGAGAAGGCCGGGCGAGAGGCAGCGGCGCGCCAGTGCAAAGGCGGCTTCCCCGGGGAGGAAGGCGCCACCGGGCACGTCCCAGCGCGCAGCAGCAGAAACAGCAGCCACCGCCACCGCCAGGAACGAACTCCCTGCTGGGCTGGCCCGGCGCGCCGCTTCCCGCCCGCCTGCTTCTCTCACCCCAGGCGGGGGGGGGAGCCCGGAGAGGCAGAACCCGGCCTGGCCGCCTCTTCTTGCCAGCGGAGCTCACTCAGCCGCCTCGCCCGCCCGCTTCTCTGCTGCGCCCCCCCCCCCCCCCCGGCCCGCTCCTAGAACGCTGCTGCTGCTGCTGGGGCTGCCAACCTCCAGGCGGGGCCTGGTGACTTCCCCGGAATTGCAACTGGATATATCCTGAATATCGCCGGGATCCGTTCCCCGGGAGAAAATGGCTGCTTTGGAGGTGGACGCTCTAGCCGTGGATCCCGGTCGGTTGGCAAGCGCCCAGTGGCTGGCGGTCTCCCGGAATTCCAGCTGATCCCCCCCAGGTTACAGAGATCCGTTTCCCCTGGAGAAAAAGGACTGCTCTGGTGCACATCCCATTTTCCACGACTTTTGGTCCTGGGGGGGTTTCAGTGTCCATGCAGACACAGCGCGGGTTGGGGGCAATGTTCCCTCTAAGCTGTGGAGTCTTGTGAGCAAAAATTCTACTTTGTGAGCTCCTGGCATTAAAGTTGTGAGCGAATGATTTGGCGGCTGCATGAATTAGTGCGGTCTGGAGCCGTCCTTCCTGAGCAAAGACAAAAATGTGTGAGCTGGAGGCTAAAAAACTGTGAGCTAACTCATACTAACTCAGCTTAGAGGGAACACTGGTTGGGGCCACCTGCGACTTCCTGGGACACACAGGAGGCAGGCCGCACCCTGGATTCGACTTTCCACGCAGGTGTATATCTCTGAATAGTCTGGCTGAATGCGAACCAGTGCCGTGGCCTGATCATGTCCTGTAGGTTTCGCAATGTTCTGTGGGATTCCTCAGGACCTGTGGGCAGTCCTCTCAGTGAGCTAACTGAGGCTTGGGATATGGTTCTCTGCTCCCCAACAACACCCTCATCTTCACTGGCTCCTTGGTTTATGGAGGACCTCAGGAAATGAAAGAGGACGTTAAGATGGCTAAAGTGATCTTGGCGGCCCCAAGAACACGTTATAGAGCCCAGTGGAAAGCCCATGAAGTGGCAGTCAAGGCAGCTAAGGAATCTGTCTTCTCTGCTTCTGTTTCCACTCGTGTCCAGGCCCAGCCCAATTATTTAGGGTAGTTGGACAGACCACTTCTCTACTGGGAGAGTCCCGAAATAATGGAGACGGATTTCACACAAGAGCTAGCCGGTGACTGCCCAGTATCACACTTACCATTATGTTGTCGAAGGCTTTCACAGCTGGAGTCGAAATTCATAAACATAAACACAATTTCAACAGGAAAGAAGAGAGTTTAAAAATAAATAGGGCATGGTTTCCTGTCCTGAAAAACTCAAAAGGCTCTATATCTGACAACAGCTCTACAGATAAGATTAGAATTTACACAGCCAATCCATATGCAAAAGAACCTCCTCAGGAAAGCTCCTCCATTAGCATGTCACAGCCTGGGGAACTCCTACAAGTTAATGACTCAGCCCTACCCCACCTTCCTGAGTAGATATAAATTACCCGCCTACCATTTTTCTTCTCACCTTGACACAGAGAGTACTCCATCTTTCTCTGTTACACCTCTGAGGATGCCAGTCACAGCTGCTGGCGAAACGTCAGGTCCTACAATGCCAAAACCACGGCCATACAACCCGAAAAATGTACAACAACTAAATTTACCATTGCTGGGAAAGATCTGAAGTAATGGAACAAAGCTGGAGACCGGTGGCACCCTGAAGACCAACAAAGTTTAATTCTGGGGATAAGCTTTCATGCGCACATGCAAGCTTATACCCAGAATTAAACATTGTTGGTCTTCAGGGTGCCACCGGTCTCCAACTTTGTTCTGTTGCTGGGGAAGGTAATGGAGAAAGCAGCTGTTGAGCAGCTCCAGGACTTATTGGATGAGACTTCTGCATTTGATCCCTTCCAATCTGGGTTTGGAACTAAGACAGGCCTTGGTAGCTCTTGTGGATGAACTCCGACTCCGGCTCAGTCGGAGCGGCTCTGTGCCGCTGCTATAGCTGGACTTATCAGCAGCATTCGACACAGTTGACCAGTCGATCCTGGTCAGCCCCCTAGTCTCACGGGGGCGTTGGGACATTGCCTTATTTTGGTTTGCCTCGTTCCCCAAGGGCATGCTCAGAAGGTAGCCATTGGGGAAGGGGCTTTGATCAGCCACCCGCTAGACTGTGGGGTTCCACAGGGTTCAGTCCTGTCTCCCATGATATTTAATCATGGACGTCTCTTGCCTTGAACACCCTACAGCAGGGGTGTCGAACTCATTTGTTATGAGGGCCGGACCTGACATAAATGAGACCTTGTTGGGCCGGGGCCACGTGTGTCATAAAATGTAATGCCAGGTAGCGAAGATATAAACTTTATAAAGGACACAAACACAAAGGCTGGGTTTGTTTACTTAAAATACAATCATGCTTGAAACATTAGCACCCTTGCAATATTTTGTTTACTTAACAGTGTCTGATAACTGACACCTCTTGCTTTGAATTATTGCATCAAAATGTCTGTGCTGCTGCAGTCTTGAGTATGCTGTTCAGGTGTGTATCTGTAAGCTGCAAACCTACGATGACGCAGCAGCAGCAGCAGAACTGGAAGAAGAAGCAGAAGACAGCCAGTTCCACTGTGGGCCTAATGGAAGCCCTCCGGGGGCCTGATCTGACCCCTGGGCCGCATGTTTGACACCACTGCCCTACAGGGTCGCCATAAATCAGCTGTGACCTGAGGGGCCTTCCCACCACCACCACCACGGCAGCAAAGCTCATCAGGGGGGTTGGTGTCAGGTACCATCAGTACCTGAGCTTTCTCTCCAGCTGGATTAACAGCCTGAGGCGGCTCCCTTGGCCCTGACAAAGAGGCTGGATGCTGTGGCTGGGGGGCTGAGGCAGAGCTGGTGGAAGCTGAATCCAACTGAGACTGAAGGCTTGTGGCTGAGAAGGGCCTGGCCGGGAAGGGGGGGTTGCAGTTGCCAACTCTGGATGGTATCCAACTTATTCCAGGGGACTCTATGAAGAGTTTGGGGGTCCGGCTGGATGCCTCACTTACCTTGGACTGGCAGATGTCCTCGGTGGCAAAACAGGCTTCTTCGCTCTCCGCCAGGCCTGTCAGTTGTCCCGCTACTTGTCCGGGTCTAAACTCACCATAGCAATTCATGCGACAGTTACCTCCAGACTAGATTACTGCAATTTGCTCTACGCAGGGCTGCCCCTGAAGGGGCTTCGGAGACTTCAGGTTGTTCAGGCCGCTGGCCAATCCACTGTGGCTTGCACACATCCGGCCCATTTTGCGGCAGCTGCACTGGCTTCCAGTTGGTTTCTGGGTCAAATTCAAAGTGCTGCTGTTAAACCTTTAAAGCCCTAAATGGTCTGGGAGCATCATGCCTCTCCTGTTATGCCCCCCCCCAAGGTGTCTTGGTTCTGCCCCACATGGGCTTTTGGTGATGCCTGGGCCTCGATTTGCTGGTCTGAGCGTGACAAGTGTAAGGAGGACCTTCTCTGTGGTGGCCCCAACCTGGTGGAATGCTCTCTCTGGGGAGACTCGGGCCCTGCGGGATTTCTCTGCATTCTGCAAGGGCATGGAAGGCAGAGTTATTCCACCAGGTGTTCCACTAATGTAATTCTGGTGGACTCTCCTTACCGCACAGTGGATTTTTATGCGAAAAGCTGTGAGTTAAATTTTAATTTCATTTAATTGGATTTTATTGAACTATGGTTTTATTACTGCTACTGTACTGTACTGTAAATAAGTAAATACCCCACGAAGGTCCCTCCTCAGCCTCCACCCTCAACATCTCCAGGAATTTCCCACCCCAGAGCTGGCAACCCGAAGTGGCACTAAAGGTCCCTGCCCTCCCCAGACCCCACCCTCACTCCACCACCCAAATCTCCAGCAATTTCCCAACCAGCAGTTGCCGGCCCTCATTTGCTGCAGGATCTCTGGTGAAGGCAGCTGTTGGGTGGAAGGAAAAGGAGTCTTGGGGCACCAAGACTACCAAGATTCGATTCCAGCACCAGTCTGGGTGCACCAGAGAGACCCACTTCTTCAGATGCTATGGGTGGATTCTCCTTGCACAGATGTTCTACCCAGGAGGCATAAAAAACAAAATGCCCAAGGTGTGGGCTGTGAAAGGCAGGAGAGACAGGAGGAAATGTCACTCGTGAATGGTCTCGGTTTGCTTCTTGGTTAGATCTGAGCTTTACACAGTGCTGTTTTACCCCTTCCTTCCTGTATTTAATTCTCCTTCAGTCCTGTTGTTTGTTTTTTCCAGGCCTCTGCTATCAAATGCCCGCCTCTGAGGGCTGCCGTCTCTAAGGTGGGAAATTCTTGGAGATTTGGGGGGGTGCAACCTGCAGGGAGGATTTATGGAAGGAAGGGGCCACAGAAGAACATAATGCCATAGAGCCCACCCTCCAAAGCCACCATTTTCTCCAGGGGAATTGATCTGGAGACCAGTTGTGATTCTGGGAGATTTCCGGGGGGGGCCCACCTGGAGTTTCAAAACCGAGACAGGCTGCGGTGTGAATATAATGGGGAAAAATAAAGTAAGCTCACCGAAGAAGACCACTGTTCTATGACTTTAACACACTTGGTTGTACTTTTTATAATATTTATAATGCAGGTTTATTATGTTACAAAACAGTCATCCGTATGTAAAGTACACGCCATAAGCATAGGCAAAGCCAGTAGATAATGACGTGAGTACAATACAAAATCTTGATGCAAATATTCTTGGCCCTGTTCTGACTCTGTTCCTGGAATGGTTTCTCTTCAAGGCGCCTTTGGTAGAGCTATGAAGTGGAAAAGCAGACTAAAAAGTCTTCATTTTCAAGATCCTGAATAGCATTTATCACTCCTTCGTTTAAAAACGTGTGAATCCAAGAGATAAAGAGAACACGCTTCCCTAGGATTAACGAGCGGTTTCGGATATCTTTATCAACTCTGTGTTGGTCTTCATCACCAATCTCTTGACAGAGCTGT